TGGGCCAAGGAACTTGGACCTTATCCAGAAGGCAATGGGGAGCAATGGGCATTTGAGGGAAGAGAGACTGATGGGCCAGGGCCATATTTTGGATCCAGAGAGGCCCTCAATTCCATAATGTTCCCCCATCCCTGCCCGATAGCAGCCATGGCTCAGCTGGGTAGGGTGGGGAGACGCAAGGGGGCATTCACTCAGACTCAACCGCCCTACATTCTGACCCACTTTCCTGGGTGTGAGAGCAGCCATCAGGGAGCAGGGAGGTGTGGGGAGCAGGTGGCAGCGGCTGCAGAGAGGTTCCTAGGCCTTTATCACATTCTCCCTGGTAGCAGAGTTATTTGTGTACCAGCTTGTCTGCCCTGCCAGAATTTCCCAGCCCTCCCTGTGTTAGAGTGTGGTCTGCCTGTTTACCCGCCATCAGTGCACCTGCTTTTCAGGACAGCCCGGGAGGGGGAAGCAGGCAGGAAGGCAAGAAATGTCACCCCATTTCAGAGATTTCCGGAGCCTGAGGGAGCACAGTCCCACCTGCTTCATTTCCCAGATGGAGAAATCAAAGTGAGAGAAGAGCCTCACACCAGGCCAGGAAGCTCAGGCTCAGGGAGACTCACTAGTGTGCCCAGAGTCAGACTGGGATGGGGACCGCTGGCTTCTGTGGTTCCCGTCTCCTGTCACATCCCTGCTGAAATCTGCCATGGCTCCCAGGGCACAGGGCAGTGCCTGGCAGGCCAGAGGGGTCAGGGATGGTAGCTGGGGGGTGAGGGGTTCTGGCCAAGTCAGTCTCCTGGGCTGCAGACTTCCCATAGACTTCTAGGCAGACAGCAATTCCCCAAGTCTCCTGCTGCATTCATGGGTTCACTTTTTTGGCCATGAAGCATGTTTGTGAAAACTCTCAGGTGGTGCAGAGTGAGCAAAGAGGGGGCCATGGACAGAGGGGAGAGTTTCTTAAAAGAGCTTGGCTTATTTTCTGCTAACCCATGAAACTGGAGATCTGAAAATCAAGGGCTGATCAAAATTTCCCCAGGTGGGCTGGCAGCTGGGTACCAAAGAGCCCGCAGACTGTGCCTGAGCGCTGCCCAGCCTTCCCGGGGCTGAGATTCAGAAAGAGAAGGTTGTTGGCAGTCAAAAGAGCCCAGAGGCTGAAGCAGACAGTCCCTGCCTCAGTCCCTGCTTGAGCCCAGTGTGACCTCAGGCCCGTTTCCTATCCTCTTGAAGGCTCAGCTTCCTTCGCCTGGAGAATGGGGATAATACCCACCCCATAGGCTGGGGATATGTGTAAAAACCTGGTCCCCAGTAGTGACTCAACACAGAGAAGCTAACATTGTTGATGCTATGATACTACAATTATCATCATCATTATCCTGGCCACTGTCCCGTCCCCACCCCCTGCTCAGGGAGAGTTCTCCCCCAAATGTCCCTCAGGTGGGAAAGCCTTGCTGCTGGGAGGAGACGGTCGTGTTACTCGTACTGGGACAGGGAAAGGTTTAAGTTGTCTGTCTCCCTACAGTCGTGGGTAGAAAACACTTTATGATGTTTTTCCCCAGATTATTATTACATTATTATTATTATTATTTGGAGATGGAGTCTCTCTCTGTCACTCAGGCTGGACTGGAGTGGCATGATCTTGGCTCACTGCAACCTCCGCCTCCTGGGTTAAAGCAATTCTCCTGCCTCAGCCTCCGGAGTAGCTGGGACGACAGGTGCGCGCCACCATGCCCAGCTAATTATTGTATTTTTAGTAAAGACAGGGTTTCAGCATATTGGCCAGGCTGGTTTCAAACTCCTGACCTCAAGTGATCTGCCCACCTCGGCCTCCCAAAGTGCTGGGATTACAGGTGTGAGTCACTGTGCCCCCACTTTTTCCCAGTGTAGACATCCACATTCCAGAAATTTCCGTGTACGTGCCCTGCTCTTCCCTCTTCCTGTACTATCCTTTGCATCAGTTCTACCAGTTGCAGCCCTTCCCATCCTTCACATAGTCCCACCGTCACCACACCCAAGAAGCCTTCCTTGACTGCCTTGGCTTAAAGTGCTCTTGCCCTGACTCCTCTGCCCTTGTTCCCTCCTTTGCTTCCTTCCATTCTTCTTTCTTATTTCCCTCCTTTCTTTTCTTCCCTTTATTTTTCAAATCTCTGGACCTGGGGCTGTTTTTACCTGTAGGAGGTGCAGGCCCCAGTCGGTGTTGTTCCCCAGAGCACCTACAGGGCAGCGGGAGGCAGACACTCCACTAACGAGCAAGCCCTCCCTCAAAAGCACAGTGGGAGGGTGGGAGGAGGTGCATGTGTGATGTGCCCAGCTCCGTTCCAGGCACACACCAGGCACCCAGCACACATGTGCATCTTTCCCTCCCTCTCCTGCTGGCCCCTGAGCATCCAAACAGGGCCTGCACACAGCGGCTCCTGAGTGGACGCCACGGAACTGAAATGATGGCAAGCCCCAGGGAGCAGAAACTGTGACTTCAGTCACTTATGTTCCTTGGCACATAGTAGGTGCTTAATAAAGATTTTGAATGAACAAACAAGAGCCAAGCCCTGAGCTTGAAGCTGGGAAAAAATAGGACCTGGGCCAAGAAGTGGCAGCCTCACCACCTGGATGAGCACCATGGATGTGCAGCCTCGGCAGGAACTCATTAGCTATAGGGCGCTCCTGACACAAGACAGGCCATTATTTTCCCAGCAGAAAGATTTTATTTAAAGGGGGTTTTTGTTTGGTTTGTTTGTTTTGCCAATTTCAACATGCAAACTTTTAAGGATATAGAATAACATATGTTAAGATAAGATATTAATTCAAAAAATCACTAATTTCTTCCTATTCTCACATTTCATAAAATGTCATAACAGATCCACTATGGCAGTATATCTCTGACTCTGTGTCCACTGTTCTGTGGATCAGTCAGTAAGCCAACAGGGTTCTCCATGGTCGGGGACTCTGTACAGACCGAAATCTAAGGTCTAAAGGTGGCAGCTTTTTCCAGGGAAATAATTTTGGGGGGAAAAACTGCCTTATATTTATCTGGATGCGGTGCCCATGGTGTGCTGAGCTGGCTTGTACAGGCTCATAAGAGGCAAGTGTCACATTTTTAAGAATTTCGTGAGCTGGTTGTTAAACACAGCCAGTACCATTGGTTCTCAGCCGGGGACACCTGGCAATGTCTGGAGACATTGTGGGCTGTCATGATTTGTGGAAGAGGTGCTACTAACACCTAGCAGGTAGAGGCCAGGGATGCCGCCTATATAATGCACATGTCAGTGTCCCCAACCCCCTAGCAAAGGATCTCCAGCCCAAAATGTTATGGTGCTGATGCTGAGAAACCCTGCTTGGAGCAGTGGCTCATGCCTGCAATCCCAGCACTCTGGGAGGCTGAGGTGGGAGGATTGCTTGAGCCCAGGAGTTTGAGACCAGGCTGGGCAACATAGTGAGACCTGTCTTTAAAAAAAAGAGAAA